GCTCCCCTGGACCTCCGTGTCACGTGACTGGTCAGGGTGCGGACGGTCTTCATGTTATGTTATATGGCCGCTGTTAAGCACTGGGGGGTTCTCCCGACAAATGCTGTTTGGAGAAAATGGAAGGTACAGTTTTTGCTTGGAGAAAATGGAAGGTACAGTTTTTGCTTCGTGTTCATTCGCTTTTCACACGTTTCTGGAACAGTTTTTTTCCATTTTTAATGAGTCATAACTTTTGTATTTATTATCTTACAGTACAGTCTTTAAATTACAGGACTTCATACCTGCATGACGTTGTTGTAAAAAACCTATTTGCCTGTTAAATTGATCTTACTTAAAATTATGAAATGAGAATGGCTTGAACTTTGCTGTGCATTTCGAACGTTTGTTTCCCGAACTACGAGGGCTGCCCCACGGAAAACCGGAAAAGGTCCATAAAAGCAAAAATCTTTGTCCTATTATAATAAAACTGTAACACATCATACCTCAACATGTGCTTTATTTCTCAATGGAATCACCATCCTGCTGGACACATTTTTCCATCGCAGGATCAGTGAGAAGATACCCTCCACGGGATGTCAACCAATCGTTCACGGCTTTTACAAAGTCTTCGTCGTCGGAGACTCGCTGTCCAGAAATATGGCGTCTCATTGGTCCAAAAGGGGGATAATCTGAGGGGGCCAAATCAGGACTGTGAGGCGGGTGTGGCAGAACTTCCCAACGGAACTTTTGGATCCAGTTTTTCGTAACGTTTACGGTGTGTGGTGTTGCGTTGTCATGCTGCAAAATGACCCCGCTGGACAACCGGCCTGGTCTTTTTCGGCGCACAGCCTCTTTCGACTTTTCAAGAGTCTGACAGTATCTGTTAGCCTTAACAGTTTGTCCTGGTTCCAGAATCTCAAGAAGCAGAACACATTTAGCATCCCAGAAAACCGTAGCCATGAGTTTCTTCACCGAAGGCTGAACTTTTAATTTTTTCGGGGAGGTCAAGACGTGTGCTTCCAAAACCATTGAATCCCTCTTCGCCTCAAGGGTCATGTGGTGTATCCAAGCCTCATCACCTGTAATAATGCTTCTCAGGAATGCTTCATCGTATTGTTGGAGGTCTCCAGATGCGTCCATGACTCCCGTGACAGCTTGGCGACAACGATTCCACAAAGTCTGAGACACTTCAACACGTTGCATCACTTCTACCCTTGACCAATTTTCCAAAGGGGTAGCCATGTTTGGAGAACTGCTGTGTTCGTTGGGTTTGTTGCCATGCTCATGGTGTTCAACTGGGAAATTCCTAAATGATTATTTTACAAGTGTGCGTCTATAGAAAGTGAAAATATTGAATAGTTTTCAAATTACAGCCAAATTCCGGTTTTCCATGGGATAGCCCTCGTATTAAAATTTTCAATAAATTTGTTTGTCGACGGATTTTTGTAAAATTTTCCCGTGTTGTTCATGGGAATCAAGGTATGGTGGTTAAAGTAAGTTGATTTCTGGGGTTTCAAATTTTGGGTTCTTTAAAAGACAAGGAGAGTTTTCTCTAGATCTATAACCAAACAAATATACACATCAATGAAACCAAACTTCTCCTATAGGTAGGGCAATACCCACTTTTGGTGTAGGTCAAGATTTCTGGAAACCCCTGAAATCTGGGATAGCCCACTTGTGCTTAAAAGCGACCATATATAAGTCTTGTCTACTGAAGGGGAGGTGGGGGGGG